AAATGTTTAAAGCCACTTTTGCCATGCGCATGCTCAGATAAACTTGTAAAATGGCGGTCCCGTCTCATTTAGGTGGAAGTAGGTTCGACTGGAAATCGGAACCTTAGGTGGAAGTACTGTTCGTCTGGAAATCTGAACCTTAGGTGGAAGTAGCTTCATACATTTTGTTTCGTGAATTCCGCCTTGCAGATTTATGGGGTTATGACTTCCTTTGAATCCCCCACACGAAGCTGCCCTAACCACTCCAAGACTGACCAAGACTATGACCAAAACCTAGGTAAACTCATTGTTTGATTGTGTTGTCCCATCCTTTCAGGATATACCTCCTGTCATCGACTTTTAATAGTAATCTCGTAAATATTTCAATTTTGTAATTTCAAAGAACTGCCTGAGTTTTGGTCTCATAACTTGTTCCGTGCTCAGCACGTCTTGTTGTTGTTTCTACAGTGACTGTTTGTGTTCACCTGTCGGTTGGTGTAACTGATGTTATTGCCAGCCTGCTGATGTTGACGTTGTTTAATTTTGCGGTTGCTGTTATCATTCACGTAGTTTTGCTATTGCTGCTATTAACGTTGTTGTTGCTGCTGTTGCTGTTATTGTTGTTGTTGTTATATTGCTTTTGTTACTGTTGCTAAATTTGATGTTGCTTGCGTTTTTGTTTTTAGATGAAACGTTGGCTATCCCCACACACAATGATTCAATTTGAGAAAATAATTAGTAAGGAGACTCAAAAAACGATGAACGTTAAAGATTTTTATCCCCCAAAGAATTTGATCAGTATGTTAGAATATGTGTCGAGTCAATGTCCACTCACCGTGTGCTGTCTACACATAATCCTCTAGGCTAACTTAACTTTTCTTCAATTTTAATTAAAATAGCGAATTCCATGTGCAAATATTTAGACTTAAATCCGGCCTATGTACGACCTCTTGTAAGCGTGGCTCAGAGCAAGATCCACTGGCTAGGAGGTCCTTGGCTGGGATATGACATCTCACGTACTCTTTTTGCCTTCCCGTCTAGTATTGATGGATTGCAAACATTCTCTAGAGAGTCAAAAGACAAAAACATGGCGGCCATTGTGGTGCCGTTAACAATGGATGCTAATGAGAAATCCTTTGTTAAATGGCACCAACATGGCCGCGATGACGTGACGTGCAATCGAAGAATGTACAATAAAATAAAGCGTTATTTTTGGACAGCTCCTGGAGAAGCTTTTTAGAGACATAAAGTCACATCTTTGATAGAACGACAAAAGGTGAACCAGTTCAGTTATACACCGAATCGAAATATGGCGACCATTTGAATAACTAATTTTCTGCACTCACTAGCGACTGACTAGCCTTTCATACACATGAAAACGCTTTTATGTTTCCACGTCAAAAAGACGGCGTGTACCAGTTGGCTTTACTTCATGCAGTTTAGACAAAAGTGATTCCAAACTCTGAGAACACTGTACTTAAAGGTGTCATTCCCTAGAGTATATTGTCTTTTAGAGATAATCTAAAAAAAATGAGACGTGGTCTGAAATTGGTAAATATAGCACCAAGACGAACTATGTCTATTGTGGGGACTTAAAATAGAAAAGTGTGTTTGAAACATTTGTATCTAAGTTTGTACACCCCTTGCATTGTGACGTCAAAGCATCTCAATTTGGAGGACAAAACAAAAGAATTTCAATCTCCTTAGAATTGGAAACCCATTGTTGAACTGCATTCCGACGTGCTGCAAGCACAGGGAGCCCTCGCCATTTTGTTTGCTTGTTTTTTTAAAAACAATTTAGCCTAATGGTTGCCTTTTCCTAGTTTTCGGCTTTTCCTTCTTCTCGCTTCTTCTTCTTTCTTTCTTTCTCTTTCTTCTTTTCTTTCTTTCTTTCTTCCTTTCTTTCTTTCTTTCTTTCTTTTCTTTTGTTTTTCTGCTTCTTCTTCTTCTGCTTCTTCTGCTTCTTCCGCTTCTTCTCCTTCTGCTTCTTCTTCTTCTTCTTCTTCTTCTTCTTCTTCTTCTTCCTCTTCTTCTCCTATGAGTCTTCTGCTTCTTCTTTCTACTCTTTTACTACTACTTCTAATACATCTTTTCTCCACCAAATGTTTGCTTGACAGGCCGACGAAATGAAGTCACTTCATGATGACTACGTATATAGGTTCCTCAGCATTTTTTTTTTTTTTTTGAGTTCTCCAACAAAACCACAGGGAAACCGTACCGAATGTCTACTTCCAAACCTCTATTTAAGATCTGTTTAGGATCATAGCGCGAGAAGGTCAATAAGATTTGACAGTGAGAAAAGAGCGTTGCATTTATCAGGATTTGTCGATGTCAGCGGACTAAAGACCACGGAAAATGGTCATTTGTGAGGTCAGTTTTGTGTTTTCGGCAATGAACAGATAAATTATCCACATGAGGCAAAAGACAGACAAATCGACAGACAGACAGAAAAAAGGCCAGAGTACTCTTGACATGAAGTTATAGACCAGATAGCCTGATCAATGAGGAGAAACAGACGCTTTCATCAGGGGAAGTAAAGCGATAGAAATTGCAAAGGCTTCGATTCGCTTGCGTCATTGATTCGTATAGCCTAGACGAAGATTACCCAACGTAAGAATAAGGTGACGCACATCGACAAATAAACTAAGGATACATAAACTATACGTTAATATAACATACAGTTTTTGATATGAAAAAAATACGGAAAATGTGCCACTATTTAGACAAACAACTGTACGCTCTGTTTTCAACATGGGAATTGATCAAAAAATAACTAAAATGAGAAAATAGAACAGAACAAAAGAACAAAAGAAGAGAAGAAAAGAGAAGAGAAGAAAAAGGTAGAGAATTGTAACATTGAAAGTTGTTTGAATGAACATCTAATCACTCAAGATCACCATGAAAGCCCTTTCTTTTAACAAATAATATTTTTGTTGAATGACATGGTGCCGCGCCTTGACACTCTCCCACGAGCGGAACTGATGGTACAAAACTAGACTGCACAGATATAGACCTGGCACATTGTGGGATTTTTAAGCTTTCAACAAGACTTGAAAGCCATGGACTGTGTTGTGTATATAGCTAGGCAACAGAGATGAACATTAGGTCAGTAGTCCAAGAAGGAAACGGTAATAAAGATGGAAATAAAAATGGAATTTGGTGAGACCGTGTACAAAAAGAAAAGCAACAGCAAGAAGAATAAAGCGGCACAACAGCGAAGATAAGGCAGCTGAACTAAATGAGAACAAAGAAGAAGAAAAAGATCTAATCTCAGAAAAACAACATTAAAGAAACAGCACAGAATTTTGAGGAATTAAAATGAGCAGCAGGAATAAAAAAATAGCAACGAAGAAATAAAGAAGAACATTAAGAACTGGCGAAGAGAAGAAGAAGAAGAAGAAGAAGAAGAAGAAGAAGAAGAAGAAGAAGAAGAAGAAGAAGAAGAAGAAGGAGAAGAAGGAGAAGAAGGAGAAGAAGGAGGAGAAGAAGAAGAAGGAGGAGGAGAAGAAGAAGAAGAAGAAGAAGAAGAAGGAGAAGAAGAAGAAGGAGAANAAGAAGAACTAGGAGAAGAAGATGATGATGATGATAATGATGATAATAGTAGTGACGACGAATAGAGAACAACAGTAAATAGAATTAGATAGATAATATTAGAAATGTTTTCCAAATTGTATCAAGAAAATTCAGAGCCCATAAAAAACACTTAGGACTAACGGAATCATTGGCAAAGTGACTACCCAAAACTTACAAAATATCATATAAATCAAAATACATCAAACAAAATCAGCGAACACATTTGATGAAGAGTTTTTTTTGGAATGTATAAACTCATCCACATAAAAATAAACTATCGAGATTTATCGCGGCAATTGACAGCGCTGTTATTGACCCGAGGTCGTAGGACTATCCCAATGTCTACCAGTAGCTCCATATGGGGAATTATTCGGTACAGGGCTTGGAAAACGAGGGATAAAAATACACCCAAGAGGTATTGTAAGTGTCAATCTGAACATATGAAGAGCTGACAGGCTGAATGCTTTGTTGTTCACTTTGCGGCGATTTCAAAGGAAGAGCTTTACGCCTCGAGCTTGTTCAGAATCGTGTGAAGTCAGCAGGGGCTTTTATGGCTGGAACTCTGTTGTCGAGAAAATATCTTGCCACTATCCTCTGTCATCCTTGTAGATAAACATTCTGTATCTGCAATCGGCAGTGCTGACATTTAGCTACAGATTAAAACAACTGTAAATATAATTATACTATGCTAAGTATTGAATTAGTGGGGTTAACAAGCTCGGCCGTAAAATATAAACACAGCGGATCATTAGCTTAATTATATGAACTTACGATTCTTGTTAAGGGAGAGGGGAGATGGGAACTTAATAGAACCATTTAGGAAAGATTGGCCACCGTGGTATATGAGCTAACAGAGCATGTTTTGCAACTGTGATGGATATTTCAGGGTTTTGAGAGTTGACCATATGTTCATTGGCGGCAAGAAAACTTTGGCATGACCGGAAAAGGCGGTTGCCTTTGTGACTCAAGAGTACTTTACTCACACATCTCCTTCTTATAAGCCTTTGCTCCAAGGCACTCATCTTTATCTGGGCTCAAAAGACTTTAAACTATTCTCGATACTCCACATTAGATTGCAGTCAAGTGGGATCATTGGACATGGAATCAAAGCCATTGAAACTCGAGACATACTGTTTATAGCAGTCTTGATCGCTCGTATATCTGTGAACTAGGTTGACACATGTCTAGATTGGCTATGTCCAACGGCAATGGGCAAAAGCCTTCATCGACGGCCGTCCTTATCTTTACAATCAGCGCCATGACATTGTGTGGAATTCGTATTGTGCAGATGAGATATAACGGTCGTTTGGATTGGACAGTCCTCCTGTCGCATGTCAAATATGTCCGTCAGCGCCTGTCCCCATATGATCTTGCAATTGCTAGAGTGCTCTTGGGGCAACTATATCATTTCTCGAGCTCCCTTTCATCCGTCATTTTAGAAACTGAGCTGAGGATTCCATTCCAGTGATGGAAAAGTTTCCCGATTTCATGCCTTCCATGGATCAAGCCAGAAAACAGCCACCGTACCCTTCTGCCTCCAATATATCACACTGCCAACAAATGGTCCCACGATCACGAGAAATCAACCTCAACGTGCAGGTCCACCACGAGGGAGGCTCAGTTCCTTTGCAGCATCTACCTGCACACCCTGGCGACATGGGTAAACACTCTAGGAAATTCATACCTTTTTACTTGAAGGTCTTAGCAAACTCATTTGTTCGCGTTAAATATCTCTCACAGGGTGACCGGTTCTGTAATTATAAGTGCGGTCCACATGTAATTATTTTCGCCTACCCCTGGAATCCACATCTTGAAGTTAATTACACCAAGTGACTTATAAAAGTAGCGCACAGTCGTGGTAAATTGATAAGCGATTTTTCTCCCCTCACTAAACTTATAGCCAAGTTTCATAGCGTTTATTTTACGTAATACAATCCCGGAAATATATTTTGTTTCACACGTAGTATTGTATTCAAAACAGCAGTTGATCGTTGAGTTTCACGAGCTAATGGTTCGTTGGACTTTGGTTTGTTTTAGAGGAGAAGTACAATCAAAACGTTTCGCCATCGTCACRGCTTTCTCACGGTTCTCCATCGTGCGGTGAGATGGATTCTTCAAACAGTGAGTCACCACAGAAGAGGAAGAAACGACGAAACAGGACGACTTTTACAGCGTATCAACTCGAAGAAATGGAGAGAGTGTTCCAAAAGACGCACTACCCAGACGTATACACAAGGGAACAGTTAGCTTTACGATGTGATTTGACTGAAGCAAGAGTTCAGGTAACTGAAAAATAAATCTGCGAAGTAGGATATTCTTTGTCCAAAACCCCTTGATGGCGAGTACTTGACCGTTGAGGCTAATCAAGGGCAAACTCATTTGTGCTAATGTTATTACAACATTGTAGTTCACTTTTAACAAACTCTTCAGCTTTAATTCAATTATATGTACATACAGATTTGATAGTGGTTTGTGTGTAGACGGACAGGGACGCACGAGATATGGATTGAAGATTAGTTGAACTAGGTCAGCTATCATTGCTTGTTAGGCACTCATGATTTATCAAGAAACATGCCAATGAATGAAGAAGTTACCTATCGATATTATGCCTCCATATATCTCCTTAAAGTTAAGCATTGTTTTCTTTAATACAACACACACAAATAAACAAACATGTTAATCGGTAATCTCAAAAAAAAACCGATTGGTAAGATCTCAAAACATGCGGTTTTCTGGCTATTGGTCGTTTCGCACGTTCAAACCAGTCACGTCCATGATCATGAACAGGTCAACAACGTACGGGCCTCAAGCGGCAAAGTCTCGTATTTCTTATCCGATAAAAATCTCACGGCTAGGCTCCTTAAAAAAGAAAAAAATCCTCTCTTAAAAATCTTTATAATAATTTTCCTGTATATATATAGATTTGTTCTCCCAAAGCCGCCGCTACGAAATCATTACACTACGAAGTTCACGTTGGGCCAAGTATGTCATTCCAATAAAAGGCTTTCGGCAGGTCTGGTATTGAAGTCGTAAATTTTTCAACGCTTTTGGACAATTCGTGAGTCAACACAAACCAAACCTTATAGCGGCGTTTTCCACTCATCATGACAGTCTAAGTTAGTTGAATTTTTGCGGTTCATTGTCACTATTAGATATTGAACATTTCATGACTCAACTACCTTGTGGTCATTTTATGAAACGTAAACTCAGATTTGAAGCATAACACCTTGAAAAAGATAGTCTATCTGTAATTTTCTCAAAAAAAAAAAAAAAAGCTCTTTTTTCTAAAGGGAAGTGTAAATTCATTATATAAATACGTTTTTCGCGCTTGTGAGATTTTGTCAACAGTTGATAATTTAAGACTGGAAGAGATTCCTGACTTTGCCCGCGTTTGGAAAATGCTCTGTGTTGTGTTTTAAGCTGAGTTGAAGGAAACGAGCTAAAGGAAGCCACAAAAATCCTTCAAAACATGTTGGGGTGAAAACTAACTAAAAGATTTTGCCCAGGATTTTTTTTTTTTTTTAACTTTCCAAACAAAATATTCATATTGAAGTATATTCTTTGTTTTATATAAGCCATATCTGGGCGCAAAAAAACTTCAATTTATAGTATCAATAAGATTAATCTTTTTGCTTATGCAGAAAAATATCCGAGAGAATTCTTTTGGTTCCTGCAGAACTTTCGTCTTGAGTATCGGTATTTTCGTGTTAAATTTCGTTTTAACTTTAAACAGCAAAGAGTTTAATAATCCTAAAGTTCATAAGTCTTACGTTGACGGACAAAAGCCAGGGATGTGTGATAAATACTTTTCTCGTTAAAGTTTTACGGACACCTCTCCACTACAAAGCTTTTCCACAAGAAAATACCACCTCATTTACGTTGACTTTCTTATGTGTTTAATTAAATCTAAGTATCTTGTGTTTATTTATTTGTTTTTAGTTAGGATAACCGATTGTAATTTTTTGTTGTTGCAACACCTTCAATAATGGTGCCATTTTTAACACCCTGCTGCTAAATTTTTGACCGGTTTTACTGCATTGTTGCAGACGTCTTCATCATCTCGATGGAAAGAAAAGACAATAAAAAGAAGTCCTTGCAATAATTAGTGCTAATCAGTAGTTAATACTCAGTTATCAAGTTAAATGAAATAAAGAGGATTACTAGAGTATAATTATCCTAATTAGTAAGTAACTTGCTAAATGGCTTCCTAACATTTTCACACAAGAAGTCTTTACTTCCAGAACCCTTGCATAAAAGTTTTACAAAAGAGCTAAATTTTGGCCATGTAAATAAACGTCAAAACATACTAAATTAACCTGAGATTCGACTTTCCTTTATTTTCCCAACAAATAGTCTTTGAGAGAATGCCTTTCAAAAGAACCTTTTTTTATAGGTCTTATTAATATAACGATTCTAGATTAAGGTTAACATTATACGTTTAGAATGCACTTCATATCACAATTTTATGAAGGTTTTGAACTGACTAAAGGGATGTTTTATACATTTGTCTAATGTACTTTTAAGGTGTTCTTCGACAAGCTAAATTCAGCCAAAAAAATAGAACTTTGAAACTATAGAAAACAATTCGTACTGGGAATGCCTTTTTATTTACGTTTACAAAGATTTTTGAGCATAAGTTTATTTCTAGCTTTTCAGTGCTCATATCGTGATCTTGTAACAAAAGCGGCATAATGTTCAAGATGTTTTGAAGTAATTGTTGAACTCGCTTCCGCGTTTTGGACCTTGCTTCCTGTTTGGCGACTTCATATGAGGATTGTATATACAGTATTATTGTACTGTATTGTACTGTCTGTCTTTGTAAAGATGAATCTCGAGAGTTCAGTACGTGCTGTACGTGTATGGATCACAATGTTCAAGGCACGTTCATATTCAGTACTGAGACGTTGTGTTAGGGTGAGTTATTAGGTTAACAAAAGTTATGTATGTGTTCTGTAAGTGTTCTTTTTTCCTTTTACACGAAACTCCAAGGAAAACCTCAGTTTTCAAATGAAATACGAAGCTTTTATGAACGGTTTTCGAAACTGTGCATTCCAGATTATCGAATCCTTTAAATAATCTGATTCTTTTGCGTTTTCTCTGTATGTTTCTTTTTTTCCTTTTACGCAAACCCCAAGAAAATCCTTAGTTTTTCAAAGTCAAATAAACTTCAAAGCTTCAATAAACATTTAATGTAGCAGTTTATTGAGTGGACACTGTTATTTAATTGACACTGTAAAGACGGTAGTACTTTACTGTGGCCTTAAGAAAGGCATGGTAGCCCTGCCCACTATTATGCTGCACTATCCTTTAGGAAACTTCATCAACTTACTACAACACGTGCTCTATATCTAATGTTGTTCAGGGCCATTAATACTACCACTTCTCACTTCAAGCTTTATACATAAACTACCTGTGTTCAGCCTCTATATGTATTGTTGCTATTATTACTGCAACTTCTTACTCAAACTACTTGTGCTCTTTATGTAATGCTGTTGATATTACTACTAGCTATACCACTTCTTACTTTAAACTTTATACTTACTCTGTATGCTTACTTTATACTTACCTGTGCTCTATATGTACTGCGCTGTTTTATACTACAACATTTTACTTTGCCCGTTGAGTAAAGTTGTATGATTATTTAATAACAGTTAAAGTAAAGTGGAGTTGGCAGTGTCTACTGCGATGTACTGTGTTCACTATTTTTTCCTACCACCACCACTACAACTTTAACTACGATTGCTGTTACTGCTGCTGTTGCTGTAATTAGCCCCCACCAACTTCCATATATACTAAGTATGATTTCGTTAATCAAGTACTAGAATTATTCACTTTCTTGCAGTAAACTTTTGTTATGGAACTTTTCTACTGCTTCTTGCACTGCTGTCAAGTAATACTGCCTCGCCTTTTGGGTACTGTTGCTTCTGCTTCTGCTGCTGCAGTTGCTATTGCTCTGTTGCTTCTGCTTTTGGTGATATCTGTGATATAGAACTGCCGAAGTTAAAATTAAAGATCTGTATTTAGTCAACGCATTCTTGTTAAGCTAGAACTTCAAATCAAATTTAAAATAGACTTCTATATACATTGAAAAAAATCTCTCTTTTGTTGGGCATAGGAAATCTGAAAAAATGTTCATTGATTTCTGGGACAACCAAGATTTCACTTCCATTTTCATAAACTGAACGACGCCAAAATCTATAGAATTTATCACTTGAAGAGGAATCTTGATAATGCACGATATGAATAAAGAATAACTGGAGGAATRTTTCTCGACCTTTTAGCTATGATTGTTTGAGGCTGTGGTACTTTTACACACTTGTCAATTTTTGAAGTTCAACGGCAGGATGACATAATTGTACGACAGCCATATTGAACTTATTAGTCAGTAACTCAGAGACCACTTTAGCAAATGGACTTTCAAAATTAGCTAAATGATTCAAGATTTACTGACGGGAATATCTGTGAACTCTAATTCAACACAAATAATACTAAATAATCAAATCACATTTGAAATATATATGTAAAAATCTTTTTTAAACGTAGGAAAGGCGTTTTGTTGCATTTCGTTCGTTCCTCACTGACATTCATTTCCGAACTCGGCTGTGTCGTATGTGTCGTTCTCTTCTGTGCTTCAAGGGTTTTTCTCTGGGTTCTCCGGATTTCCTTCTTCGTCTTAAAAATAAAAGTCTTCAATTCCAAAATAGCATCAAGAGGAGTCTGTCTGGCAAACCAGTCAAAAATGCTAAACTAAACCGATCGCTCTTTCGGGAGACGAAAAACAAAATATGGCCTACTCTGTCGGCCATTACTAGAGTAACTAAGGTTCGCATACCAAAAAAGCAAAATGTATAAGAATAAAATCAAAACACAGAATTATTAGTTCATACTAAACAATCCGACAACGGCTCTCCATGCCAATTCAATTCAACATCCACCATTTGTATTATGACTACCGGCCAGAGCTCTGTATTTTTGGTATTTTTTTCGACCGCTCAACGTTCGAAGTATCGCATTGAAATACCTCTGTAAACCATTGCCTTCGTCATAGTAAATTTGTTGTTGAATCATTTTCTGAAAGTTGTTTGGTTTTTAGAACCCTTCACAGTGTGTAGCGCTCGTAGTTGGGGAAAAAGCTATGATATGTTTTGTGAACAAACGACCGACCTTCATTACGGTGGAAAATCAATTAAAAATAAATTAGTGTCAAAGCAGTCGAACGAGCAACATTTGCAGCCAGTTTGAGGGCAAGGTCTGTTTACTCAAGCAAAATTATTCAATTTTA